ATGAATCCTGCAGGTCCTTGATTCTTGTTCCTTCTGCCATGGCCGAGGAATGACCATTTCTGGATACCAATTGTTATGTTTTTGGATTTTTTTTGTTAATTTTCTATAATTTTTTGGATAGAACAGTAGATAGAAATGGGGGACAATGTATTAGAGAGAAAGAGGAAAAAAGGGGGAGGATTTCATGAGGAGAGAGAAAGAGAGAATCAAATGATATTTTTCCATAATCCCCAATGAGTGAGTTTACAACTTTTTTAAATGACCACATGGGCCCACTCACTAACAAATCACATGCACTCTCATAAGTTGTAACAAATAAGGAAATACAGATAAATAAACTAGATAATAAATGCCACTCTCTCTCTCAACATGTGTTCGGCCTTTTTCACTTTTCCACAATAAGCATCTGACGTTCCTGATGGTAACACGTGTCAATCTCTGGCTTCTCAATGGAATTACCTTCAATTGAATTTTCCAATTGCCCCATTTCTCTCACTGCCATCTCCATTGCTCCCTTCTCCGATCCCCTTTCACCGGAAACCCTAATTTCAGCTCCAAATCCCTCTGAATTCATAACAATAACCAGATCATTAAGTCAAGGTCGACGCATCTGCGATGCCTATCCTTCACGCCTTTGCAATCCATCCATTTGTCTTTCTGCACCTCTAGTTTCTTCCCTGTTCTCATGCTCGTCTTCTGTAAGATTTCGTTGCGGCAATTGACTGGTACCTCAACACTTGGATATTTGCTCCTGGTAGAGTGATAGGCATCCCTTCTTCCAAACGAGCATCCGACAACGCTTGACCACCAAACAACGACAATCCCAACATAGAAATCACAGGTTTGGGATTGGGAACCACCGGAGGACTTCTATCCGCACATGTCCCTGTGAACTCCTCACTCAAATTCTTTTATATGTCTTCTCTTTCAGCCATGTCAGGTGATCGTAAATTGGGTAGAATGCTCTTAATTCCTTCAAAATTTCCCCACGGACCACGCCAAATGGTATGCTGGAGACCTCAAGTTGCTACATAACCGACAAATAAGAGCTCTGACTATCCCTGAGCCGCTGAGACCTACAAAAGTGTCGGGTGGAATTCCCAACGTTAGCACTCTAATGCTTAAGCCAGTATCAAGAGATTAGAGATCTAAGCTCCATATTCAGAAAGCTATAATAATATATGTAAAGTGTAGAAGAAGGTTTTAGTTGTACCTCTATCCCCTTTTATAGAGGTGATGGAGAATATATATGATTAAAATTATTATTATTATTATTATTATTATTATTATTATTATTATTATTATTATTATTATTATTATTATTATTATTAGTATTATTATTAGTAGTAGTAGTAGTAGTAGTAGTGGCTTGGAAAATAAGTTATGTTTAGGGTTAGAGTCTTATTTAAAGGCTCATTCTGCTTCAAATTAGAGAGAATTGGAGAATGAATTAGAATTGTTCGTGTTTTTCGGGAGAGTATCCCAAGTTCGAGAGAGTATCTCGTATTTTTCCCATTCGTTCACGCTTTCGCTACATCAAGGGGTATACCTGTTCTAACTTGTCTGCCCAAGTTACCCGCGGTCAGCCTGCCCGATTGCCTAGGTTTTGATCCCATCCTCATTCTGATCATACTTGAGTCATCATTAGATTCCTTCTTATTTATCATTTGGTTTTTGAGTCAGGTCTCTGCCTTATTATGGTTATTACGTTCAACTCTCCGCAAGTCGCCCTCATTAGGATCATAACCCATCGAGCTACCTTGTCGTAGTCTTCAGATCGCGACGACCTCGTCTAGATGTCCTCGACCTAATGCCAGCCTCTTATCTCCTCGGGACTTGTCCATTTCACCAAGTCTCTTCTCAACCCAGTTACATGACTTGGCTTCGGTTCACCAGTATGGTCATATCTACACCAAGATTTCTAAAATCTTAAAAAGACATTATAAATATCAAACAAATATATGATTTAAATCCAACAAAACTTTAGTGCAGCCAAAATTGGATTCACTTCTTGTTGGTTACTGTTTGAGGTGATATATAATTGGTAGAAAGATTGTTCGAATCTTCAGTACGCTGTATAACTAGGATAGTAGTAATTACCATTTGACCAATTAAGCGTCCTAATTTTAAGGATACTTTAGTCCGACCATACTTCCATAGAAACCATTCACACTCAACTTCAAAATTGATGAATTGGACAAAAGTGATTCAGAAGTGGCCTTTTAAATACTTCTGTCTCAAACACCCACTTTTACAACACCACTAAGTGGTAGTTTTACAAGAGAGTAGTAATATTAAAATCTGCATTCATAAAAGGAAAACAAAAAGAAGAAAGTAAAAAACAAAAATAAAAATTAAGGGCTCGCAGAAGCACGGGTGAAAGCAGAAGATCCTTTTCTTCTCCTCCTACGCTTCTGCCTAATTTTACACAAACTCCATAGGAGAATAAGCCCTGGCAACACCACAGCTCTCATTAGTCAAATAACAAAAAAAGGTACAAGTAAACCAACAATAAGTTCTATCTATCAAGATGGCATCCCTTACCAGATACTGCAACAATAGCAGGCATAAGCCAGTGGCTCGCAACTAATTCCGGGAAATCAAGCTGCACCCACAAATTCGATTAAAGTAGTAAGCAGACCAGGCTACCAATTTTACTGCTTAAAAAAACAAAAAAAAATCATGACCCCTTCTTTGGTAGTTGCCACTTACTTCATCTCCATACAAGTAGCCCAGATACTTTTTCTTCCCTAAATAACGGTCATCGTTGTTTCCAACGGAAATGATTTTCTTAACCGGAATCTTCCCTAGTGTAGAATTTAGTGCGCGGCCCACATCAAAGTCGGCATAGCCAGGCAGTCTACGATTTCTAGTCCTGACATTCAAATCGTAGCCGTTTTTCCCCCATACTTCGAACCTTGAGTCACGCCCACATATCAATTTCTTACCGACAACAGCAGAGTAAGTTGAGAAATTTACATCTGCTCTGCGGGATGGTAGCTGGTTGTTGTCTTGGTGCAGTGTTTTATCCAGTCTGCTCGAGTCCAGGAAAAGCACAGGGTCTCTAATACTTCTCGAGGTAAAATCTAAAATCTTTTTCAGGAGCCAATAACAGTTCGTGACCATATGGCTGCTGTCCAGGCAATTGGAATCTCCATATACGGATATTCTACCACTTCCAACCTCCAAAAGTCCGAGAATTGGGGAATCTGCCTGTTTCACGGGGAGGACACAGTGTTAGAAAATCATAACACTGCAAGTAATTAGCATAATCTGAAATTAATTCAACCCAAAATATCCAGACAGATAATGGCACGGCAAGAAGTAATCACAAGAGTCAAATAAACAGAAAAAAAACACTCGGAACATAACCTCTTGACCACATGTTTAACAAGCAGAACCAACGTAAAGAGCGCAGAGTACCAATCCCAAGGTAGCATCACTTGAGTGGCTCAAATGATATAAAAGGATACACACACTAAAATGTAACCATCACAAATTGTGTGTCCATATATTAGTTATCTCTTCAACTTTCGTATATTAGTTATCTCTTTGTTCGTTTATTTATCAACAGGTCCAGAAGACAGATAACAGACACAACTTACCTTACTCATACCAGATAACAGGACATTTTGAGTAGCACCACTCTCAGAGCTATCCAGGAAAGGGAATCTGTGCACGTATCCACCTTCAGGGAACTTTATAATATCAGTTCCAGACGCGTACCGACTCTGCTCCCCATTAATAACAAAATCACCATTCAGAACTTTGTCACCGAAAGCAATTCCAAAGGGCTCTAAAAGATTATTAAGAGCAGGTACATTTGCACCCCCAGTGACGGGGGTCCACCAGCTTCTGGTATTGTCATCAAAGAACTTCATTTTCATCATTGAGTCCACATTGTACCAATCAGCAAAGACTGCAAGACCTAGCCCATTGTTAATGACATCATCTTTCAATTTTTCAATTTCTTCAGCAAAGTACTCGTCTTCAAGATCTACCAGCAGAAGTGTCCCGTATTGCTTTGCATCAAAACAAGTAAAAGGAGAACCCAGAGTTTCCACATAATATCCTGCATCCCTTAACATGTTATACATGATATGGAAATTTGTGTGCAAGTGGTCTCCATGCCAGTCTAGGATGTCATTCCTAACATCCAATGAATCTCTAGGGATGTAACCCGGTGGGTACTTTATACTGTGAAATTGGTCCCACAAGACCCTCAGTGATCTTTCAGGGGTAGGAACGATTTTTAATTTCAGGCGAAGGACACAGCTACTTCTTCGAGGATTTGTCTCGCCCTGAGCTGGGGGGCTATAAACATTGACAGTTATGTTGCCTTCTATTTCACCAGAAAAATGCACCCCTTCCTCTTTGATTTGCATGTGAAGTGCCAAATAACCCGTCCATGGCCAAATAACGTCTGAGTAGGTGAAATGAATGCTTAGGAGATTGCCTTCCTCACTGAAGGGGAGCCATATTGGAGGCTTTTCAACATAACCAAGTACGCCCATACCATTCAAAATGGTGACATTAAAGATGACAGGCATGGCCCCTGCATACAAAGGTTGACGGCAGAAAGGCCAGGAATAGGGGCAATCCATATAATCAAGGACACTGGGAAATATGCTTGCCCGAGGTTCATAGCTCTTCAAAATTTCGTAAGACTCCAGTCTGAAGTTATTATTCAATACAAGAATCAGCAATTCGGTGATTAAGTCATGTTATATCAAAACAAACTAATAATACTCACAGATCAACCCTGCCAGCCCCCTGTTCGTACATGTTAGGACCAAGAAGTTTTGAAGCACCTTCAACTAGTGCTTGTTTCATACTTCCTGGATTGAGAACTTCTTTTCTCTTATTTTCAGGAATGACGCTAACAAGAAGGCAAACTATTCCAGCAACCACAGGACTTGCGACACTGGTGCCTGACAAGCTTTTACAGCCCGTACTAATCTTGGAACCCATTATTTCTCGGCCATACGCAACAACATCAGGCTTCACACGACCATACCTGTTAGATGAAGTTACATAGTTAAAGCAATATAATACTTCACAGTAATAAGCTGACTTGAAATTTTCATTTCAGGAAATATGCTGATTGTCTATTTGAAGATAGAGAAACTTAGGGCATGTTTGTATACAAATGTATCCGCTCAAAACGAGTTTTTTTGGTTAGCTAGGTTAATTTTGGAAAAGGTAGTATGATTAGTTGTTAATGGGATTTTGATTTTATATTAAAATAATACTTAAAATAAAATAATTAAATTTGATTTGATGTAAAAGTATGAGATAGATGATATGAAGTGATGGTTAGTTAAAATTATGTGAGTGGATGAATAGTGAATTAAAGTTGATTTGATATGTAAAAATGATTGGTTGATATTATTTAATTATATTGATAATATTGAGGATAGTGGGGTTGAGTAAAAGTTGAGTTAGATTTTGAGTATGAATTGGGTTTGAATTGAAATATTTTATATACAAACACACACTTAGTTTATTTTGATGTTTTGTCAAAAATTCCAGCTAAATTTATTCCTAATTCCTTTGCTACGTAACATGCAATGGTTAAGTTTATGGATGTTCTGTCAAAAATTCTAACTAAATTTCTTCCTAAATCCTTTGCTCCTTAACTTGCAATAAATTTGTAAAGATTTACAAACAAATAAAACAATATGTTCATCCTAAATTTCCAATAGATCACCTCAATTAAATTTTCAAATTTATTTAAATACTATCAACTATCATCATTACACAATCATATAATAGTAAAATTTCACTCACCTATTTCCAAAATCACCAATCAATGATCTTTTACCCAAAAACTAATCACATCAACAATCATCTATGTTCTATATTTTGTTGAATCACACTCTCCAGATCTTCTCATTTTTTATTTTTCCTACAAAATCTTTTTACGCTTTTCCATCCAAACATAAAATTAGCAAATTGAAAGATCGCATCTTGAGTTCATGTTCCCCGACATTGAGTGTGACAGCAGAAAAAAATAATTTTACATTTTTTTTTTAAGAACGGCCAAGGCCATGAACTTATTCCATGCTTGCAATATTTTGCACTGTAAAGTTGACATAAAATTGCTAGGACTTCAGTGTCTAACTAAAGATTATGAAATATTATGTTTCGCACAAAGAATCTAAGTAGGGAATATCAAAGCTAAAGGATGTTTACATGTTAAATAATCTACGGTTAAGAAATAGTTGCGGCGTAGCCATAGCTAATGAACCAATCTCCCTACTAATCTAGTCAATTCTTTCATGATATATTCTTATTTAAATTTGGGTTTTGCTGCATATATTTGCTACAGCAAATATTGGCTTCCCCAAAGATGTGACACAGCATCCATTATGATGAAAAGTTAAGCTAATTACGTTGGTCCTCTTTAAACCAACTGCAGTTAAACGTGTTATGACAGGCAAGATTCCAACAATCTTCAACTAATCCATGTCTCTCCACATTTCAGCTATAGCTTTGAAAGCAAGTGAAAGATAGCACATACAGTTGAAGAGAAAGCTAAAGGAGAAATTCTGCTCAAATTTCTATTTTAGTGTTGTACTAATAAGTGCATTATGATAGTTATCAGCCTGAAGATTCATCTTATGTAAAGGGGGCAGCAATCAAAACAATACACCAATTTATTTGATCAATCAGGAATTATGGAACAAGAAAGAGAACAAAAAATCCAGGAGCAAATAAAATCAGAATTCAAGCAAATACCCTACCCGTGAGGAAGCTCCCAAGTACTCATGCCTCGTGATGAAAACGATGCTATGTGATCACTATAATCGATTCCGCCGACACCAATAACATCACTTTGATCTGCAGGGTTGTTCAAAGTTCCATAAAGTGGTCCATCATTTCCGATTGCTGATACCATGATAATATTATTTGCAGTAATTTCCCAAACCTAGAGAGAGATTTAATGAGAAAAACAATCAAATATTCTTATTTTCTAATATGATAAATTATTTTTTGGCACAATCTATGAGATTTTATTTGTAATATGATTCATCAAAATATCACATTAATAATCGGAGTCCGGGTGATGTATCCCAATCTCCATAATGACCATTATTACGGCGTGAATGGTTGACACATCCATTTGTCCAAAGGGACTCTATTCCCTGAGCCTATTAAATTTCAAGAACTGAGCAGAAAAAGTTTTAGGGTTACATTGTATATACTTCCATTACGAAATATTTTCACTAGGGAATGGTGATGAGAAAAGATGATGATTATTTTAGAGTGTGAATGGATATGAGATGGACATGCAATGTTTAAAGTTAAGTGATATAAAGTGACAAAATACATATTGAAAATGATTGGTAGTAAGAATTATGTGTGTTGGGGAATACTATCTTTTATTAAAAAATGTGTATTAAAAAATAGATTTAAATTTTGAAAATTGCGGCAACACGACAGACGAGAAAAGTGAGAATTGGCGAATAGTTTTTTAGGAAAGTTTTCTAGTGGAACAAAAATGAAACCTATTTTTACCTTCTGGTTAGTTTTTCACGACAATAAATCTAGTATACTTAAACCCCCACCTCA